ATAACGCCCCCACGGTTGAAAGGGCGAGCATGTTTGGTGTGACAGGGATTCGAACCCGCGACCCTCAGATTGCGAGTCGAGTGCCTTAACCACCTGGCCATGCCGGGCCATTTAGGAAGAGATGCGTCCACGGATAGACGGAAAGTCTTCTTTGATATTGAATAGTTATCACACCGGTATGGCTTAATATGTGTAGTGCATATGTGAAGAACGCCCATACACCGATTTTTATACTCAGGTCTACTTCGCTTCGCTTAGTCTAAATGAACACAAGTAGATATTTTAAATTTAAAAATTCGTATTTTTATATTAGCAAACGTTTTAACTGAATAATGCCAAATAAATGGAAGTTATAATCTTTACAACCTCATGTTTAAATACGATAGTTGAAAATAAGACATTTTAATATGTTGAATACAACAATATTTTAATATCTGTTGATATGATTAATGTAAATTACCAGTTTTATATATTTAAAAGGAACAAACTATTAGGTTGTAAAATGTACATGATGAGACAAAAAACATATTCATTTACTTTGAACTTAAGATACTCCGTGAAACTGTGGCCCGGCATGGCTAGGTGGTTCGGGTTCGATTCCCCGTCCCATCAAACATGCTTGCCCTTTCAGCCACGGGGGCGTTATAACGTGACGGTCAATCCCACTATTCGTTGGTAAAAAAGTAGCCCAAAAGTTGGCGGTGGGTGGTGATGACTAGCTGCCTTCCCTCTAGTCTTACACTGCTAAATTAGCTAGCCCTCATGTAGCTTTGCGCGAAATTCATAACAAACCAAACCGTGAAACTGGTCGTGGATGTAATCTGCTAAATATCGAATCAGGGGATGATTTGAACAAAGTGAAATTTTGTTTTCTAAACATGGAACTTAGTGTTATAGAAACAAACAACCAAAAAGAACAATACAAATTAAAACCCGAGGCATGTAAGTTTTATGGAGACAGTCTTATTGTTCAACAGTATATTTAGTTTGCGTATTATACCGAATCTGAATATTAAAAAATCTGCTCTGGCCCTCGGCTTAGTCCAACATCCTGATGCTGATACTCTACTAATTGAGATACGTGTTCCATCATAAATGGAAATATTTTAATATTATTCCGTGATAATTGGTAAGTAATGTAATAGACTTGAGATTTTAAGAAATAATATATACGTGTGAAAATAAGTCAACAACTATGTAACCTATCATTTAAAAATATCTATACAAAGAGAGTATTTGTTTAATGTTAAATGTAAAGTCTAATGAAGCTTCTGCGTGTCATGTTGCAAACTGGTAAACTTCTGCATACATACAAATGCTAGTAACTAAGTTTCGCACTCAACAGTTCTTTAAAATAGCCTTATAGAGTAAGAGAAAAGGCCAGTATAAAAGTTCAAAACGACAGCTATAAGTTTACGATTTTTTGTTAAAAAACAAAGAAAACAGAAAAACTTTTAATAGAAACGTTATGAAGTTTTACATTATGATATAATAATGTTTATAGATTCTATGTAAAATAGTCTTGAATAAAAGTCACCCAAGATTTTCTCTACAAGCATTCTTAAGTAGGCAGTTACTGCCATTTCACCTTTGTTTGCTTATCATGGAGATTATGCCTTAATCATCTATAAAATAATATAATAATCTTATTTTATCAAATACCATTTTAAAATAATATGTCCGGAAAGTAGATAGATATATCACTGACAAATAAACGTTTTATCTGTAGCTTGTCTTAGTAATTCTGCTCTTAAATATTAAACTCTAGTGACCGATTCCGAACCAGCTGCAACGTTATTGGTGACTGCTACGTTGCAGCATATGTCGAAAAACTTTGTGTTCATCGAATAGATGCCGAAATTACTAACGACATGGTGGCCAACACACTAAATATAGACATAGAAAAAGGTGGTGATGAGTGCGCTAATGAGATGGAGGTAAAATAATCTGTAGGGATATGGTAAAAATGCTACATATTTTGCTAATATTTCATTGAAAATAAAACGTGTATAAAAAGGTTTTGGGAGATTTGTTTGTATTTTGTTTCGTTTGTAATTAAGCACAAAGCTATACAATGGACTACCTGTGCTCTGCTCACCACGGGTATCAAAAACCCGGATTCTAGCGTTGTAAGTCCGCAGACATACCGCCGTGCCACTGGGGGGGGGGGGGGCGTTTTGGGGAGAACAGGATTACACGCTTTAAGTTTGACTCCTTTGTAGTGCATATTTACAAGCTAATTTTTGTAATCATTGTTTAGTCTAGAAAAGTATAAGTTTACTGGATTTTAAAAGTAAATACTGAGTAAATTTTTAACGTGATGTAACTGAAATTACGTATCGTACTGTCACGAGGTGTTTGCCTTTCTGTGAATTTTATTCAGATTTTTAAGATACTATCACTACATTCCCGACTTTCTATTGGGTGATTGTATGTTATTAGTTTTGTTTCATAAATAAAAGTCTATTAATTCGCATTATGCGAGGCAAAAGTTTTATAGATGACTGAAATAGTCCCCCGGTGAGACGGCGTTAAGTTCATGGACTTGCAACGCTAGAATCCGGAGTTAGATTCCCCCGTAGTGTACACAGCAGACAGCCCAATGTGGCTTTGCTCTAAAACAAACAATAACTAAATTAATTATGCATTTATTCTCCTCAGTCTTTTAGTCATTAAGGATATTTTGGACATATACTGAAGTATTAGTTTAAAAATCGCAAATATCTAAAGTCACAAAGTTTTTTGCTGCGGTAATCATCTGTAATGAGTGAGCTCATAACTTGTACCAGAAGTGTTTAACGTCATTACATGTATAATAATGTGAGTCTTTATGTTTATATTCGAGTAAAAAAGAAGTAGCAAACTTTATTATTGTAATCCCTAGTTTTATAAAAATGACATTTACCATTTAAACACTCAACTTGTGTAGTAAATAAAAAATAAATTTGGGGAAAGTTCAGTAATCGTTTCTTTTAATTACAGCTAAATATTTTAAATTTAAAAAATAGCTTTCTTTTATTCTTCCAAGTTATTTCACCAGTCGTTGTTTCAGTATTTGAACACACACACTATGCACAATAATATTTGGTAGTGTTTCATTTCATTTATCGTATAATGTAAACAATATTCAGAACATTTTCAAACATACAATCTTAAATTTTCAAGTGGATAAAGTTAATTTAAATTCTTTCGACTGGTGGTGGAAATTTGAGGAGTTTTAATTTTAGGAATTTTTGAAATAAAATGCAAGAATATTTTCCTTTGTTTGTAAGATGGAACCACAATAAGAACATTGATTTTAAAGAAGTAAATTAATCATACAAAAAAAAATCCAAATAGTCAAGCAAAATATAGTATTTAGGAAACAAACTAATAGATGGCAGCACATCATAATTGGGTGTTTGAGATTGGAGCAGAATTGGATTTACATGTTTGTTTGTAGTTAAGCACAAAGCTATACAATGGGCTATCTGTGGTTTGCCTACCACGGGTATAGAAACCCGATTTCCAGCGCTGTAAGTCCACAGACATACCGCTATGCCAATTGGGGCGGATTTATATGTCCGCAAAATAAATTACATTAAAAAAGGATCCAAGGAGAAAAGACGAATTCCACCCGAGTCTCACAAAAAACAAAAGTAAGAATTTAGTCTAAGCTGCATGATTTTCTTTCACAGAACTTTGGTCGAAATATATTCGTATGTTATTACTTAGTGTATAAACAGCAGAACCGGTCCAGTCAATAACTGAGTGTAGACGATTCACCAGCGAACAATGATAAAATTTCATTGTTTATTAAAACATTAGTTTTGAAGATTTTCTGGAAAAAGTACAATCGTTTTGGATACCCTAACAAATTTACAAGATTATATTAGAAATTCTGAAAATAATTTTTAGTGAAAGTGGAATTATTCAATAAGTTATTACTGTTTCATATGTACGTTTATAATGAAAGTAGATCTTTATTGTAATTTGTGAACTTTTTTCAACACACCCTATCCTGTAAGTAATGTTTATTCAACACAATAAATAAAAACTAATAAAAAATGAAAGAAAGCGAAAACCCGGCGAGGTGGATAAGTGGCAGTTAATATAGTCCACAATCCTTGAAAATAGTAGGTTTAATGCGTGACCCGACTTAGTCATTAATGGTTATAAACAACTTCTTCGCGGAAAGATCGAATAAAAAATAAAACCTGGAGCTTATTCTCAAACAATTCCACAAAGAAAACTGTTATGCTACAGTGTTCTTAAGATGTACAATCTGCAAGTGAAAATTACTTCAAAAATATCGTTTATTTTTTTATATACAAAAATATACCTGCAATCTGCAAGTAAAAATTACTACAAAAATATCATTTTTTTTATACAAAAATAAATCTGCAATCAATTCAGAGTCAGCAACAATTGATTAACCAAAATATGTAAGATATCATTTCATAAACATGAGTCCCCTCGTGGTAAGTTTACGGAATTGTAACGCCAACAACCGGGTTTCGATAAACGTGGTGGGCACAGTACAAATAACCCATTCTGTAGCTTTGTGTTTAACAACAACTATGAACATGAAAACGTTATAACTAGAACTTGACTTGTTTTTTCTATTTTTGTAATACATGCTTAACATTTTATGGTGAAATCAAGTATCTCATTGTTCCTGATAAGTAGTAATGGAAGTATGACTCATTTTTACACGTAACTGTGTAGAGTGAAGGAAGTTGTGAATTCCTAAGTATAAGGTCTTTAAGATTTTCAGAGACAATGCACAATAAATATGTTTATAGTTCCAAAAATCGAATAAAACTACTACTACAACTTATGGGTAAGTTTTAAAAAATCTAAAGACCAACTTTTTATTGATGCTTTAAATATAAAAGTACAATGTTCCTTTTCTTTCTTTCTTTTGTTATTAAATCCTTAATGACCTCATTAGGTGCCATTTGCATCTACTGCTTTGTAGAAGGTAATAATTGAATTGTTTAACTGATTAAGTACTTGTGTCTTTACATTCAAAACCAAAAATCTATAAAAGTGAAATTTACCTTATTTCAAGATGTCTTTTATCTCCCTTCTCATATTTAGTACAATTCATGTTCTTCAATTGTGTAAGGCCTTTTTTTATGGTATGTATGGATGTTAAACAGGACTGTAGAAAATGAATTAAAGGATAAATGTGGAGATTTTTGTGATATTCACAAATAATGACACCATTTCTTTAAATCTATTTAATGAATGAAGCTAACATATTTCAAAAGATATTGACTTGTATTTTATTATGACCCCAACCACGCATGTATATATGCAAAACAGACTGATCATGTATGTGGGCCAGGTGACTGTCTAAACTTTAAAAATGCAAAAATGTAGACGTAGTATGGCTATTCTTAAAACAGTGAGTAAAAGTATGAACCTGACCGATATTTAGAGGGGCATAGTAGTGGTGCCTGTCTAATAGGAACATTTTTATCAAAGACATTTTCTTTGGCCGACTGTTTAAAGATATATGCTATCAGTAGGAATCAAAGGGGAATGTACTTGCCATTAGGAAAAACTGTATTCGTCAATCGCTGGTGACAGACTGGAAGAAAAGGCGAGAAAGGTGCAAATGGGCTCAGGATTCGATTATTTCCAACTGCACCATCTGAAAAATTACGTAGACTGTCATTCATCGGCCGACAAACAATATAAGAACTACTTATCTGACGCCCGGCATGGCCAGGTGGTTAAGGCACTCGACTCGCAATCTGAGGGTCGCGGGTTCGAATCCCCGTCACACCAAACATGCTCGCCCTTTCAGCCGTGGGGGCGTTATAAAGTTACGGTCAATTCCACTATTCGTAGCCCAAAAGTTGGCGGTGGGTGGTGATGACTAGCTGCCTTCCCTCTAGTCTTACACTGCTAAATTAGGGACGGCTAGCGCAGATAGCCCTCGTGTAGCTTTGCGCGAAATTCAAAAACAAACAAACAAACAAACAAACTTATCTGACTTGCAAACAAGAAAGCACGGCTTCAGTTATTCTTAGACAACAAACTGTGGCTTAACGAGGGGCTGGAAACAATTAATATGATTGGATGAGTTATAGTCTACTTTATTCTATATTGACAATAGAGTAAAAATATTCATTAAAACAAATCAGGCTCTTGATTCCTTTTTTTTTTAATGTGGATCCAACATTGCAAGTTGCGGAGAGGTGGTGTAGTGATGTGGGTCATGTTTTAGTGGCTGAGGTTGAGTCCCTTTATTCCTTTAGATAGGGTAAATAACACTCCTAGTGTGCTTAAACCCTATAATGCTGCATTTCTATCCTGACGCATGAGGGCTCTTATAAAATTGGAATAAAGCAATTCGCAGAGTTTGTATTATTCGGAATTGTTGTGAAAAAATTACAGTGGCCTCATCGTCTTCCTAATAGAGCATCATTTGAAATGAAGTTGGATGTTACAATCACTCTCTGCCGATATCCATGAGTGAGTGGCAGACTATATTCCTAGCCGAATGGGCTTCGATCTGGCCACTTATAAAGTCGCTACACTGAGTTAAAGCTGTTATTATTGTGAAGATGGGACCAATATGTTATTATGTTGGGATATTAATGAAGAAGCCATTGAAGTTTGCCCCTGATGAAGAAAGATCCATCTTTCGAAAGCGCTCGAGTTATAGGGTTTTTATTCATTTCTATTAAGACTTCTTTTTTTTCCTTAATCATGTGAGGCCAGCGAAGTTGAGATTAAAATGGGTAAACGGTGTGCTCCCAACGCAATTTGGGTCTTACTTTCGCCAGTACGTCTAAAATCCAGGGCACATTACATAATGATCCACCTTATGATTTATGCCCCAGCGTTGGATGTTTGTATTGTGGCTGCAATTTTTTTCTTCTCTCTCGTGAATTTACATCTATTTACACACATACACACACAAATATATATATATATATCATTATCCCACTTCTGGGCCATTTGTAGAAGGAAAAAATGTTTATAAGACAGATAACCATATATATATATATGGATACCAAAC